GCGGGGCCTAGAAATTGCATAGGACAGAAGTTTGCTTTCCTGGAACTCAAAACAGTACTCTGTGGGATTTTAAGGAAGTTTAAGTTAGAGAAAGTTGATGATATGTACGAGATCGAGTTCAGGCCGGACCTGGTGCTGAGACCCAAGAACGATGTCAAAGTCAGAATCGAAAAATTGTAATAAAAGTATGCTGTGATCATAAATATATCGATTTTTAAGAAACTGCGTTTAATTTCCAAAGGTTCGTATCGAACAAATAATAGATGAAAGCTGTTTTAGTTTAGGAAACAAGCGAAGCTCGTGGAGTAATCACCAAACTATGTAGACACAAATTTTATAACGATCACTATTATTTTACCAAAAAATACGAAAAATGTACTATTTATCTATTGAATTCCTTAAAAAATATTTATTATTGAATGCACTTACTCATTTCATATAAGAAATTGCTTCTGAGTAAATTATTTAATTTTAATGCTCAAGTAATAAATTATATGTATAATTATGTATAATCTGTTTCATTATAAAATTAACAATTTTTTTTTCTAATACCTCTGTTCCCAGGTAAGGTCAATTAAAAAATTGTGTAAATTTTTCGATCTACATGTAAATGTACTTTATTATACAAAAACAGAATAAGTTTCTGTAATTCCATTTCTCTTACGTTGCATGCAATTAATATGTCATTGCAGAATATGCAAATAAAACATTAAAAAAATTAACAGAAATGCGTCAATCAACTAAATAAAATATTCATTATTTACTTATGTTCCTTAAATGATTTGCATTTGTTGTATTTTTCCTAAATTTAGTTAATTGTTCTGTAGTGTTGTATAAAATACACCTAATAAAATAAACGTTTATTAATTGTGTAATAAATGATTTAGTTTACAACTTCGAAATCGTATTCTTTTAAAAATGAAATAGCCAAGACTCACACCTTTTAATATAGATCTGTAAAGCCAAGTAATGGCATCACAATGGTTTTAAATAAAATAAACCAATTACGTACAAACGTCGTTTATTAATTGTGTAAACTTTGTTTTATTTTAAAACCGATTGATTTTCCCGAAAAAAAATTGAAACAAAATTGTAGTAGCCAAGATTCACACCTTCGCAGACAGTACTGCCACCACAACTGAGTTTGACACATTTCGTAAACAAATTAACCTCAAACAAAACGTTGTGTTTCATTCAAATGCTTTTTTATTTGTTTTATTAAAGTAATATTTCCTTAAGTTTTAAAAACTACAATTTAGTTCGATTTAATATTAGTAATTAGATAACTTGAAATGGTGAGTAGTTTTTGTTTAAACATTATTGCAATAAACCAATCAAATCATGTATTTCTAGGCCCGAAACGCGGAAAAGGCTATGTAAGTATTTGTAATCTGCAAAAACATCCTTAAACGAGCAATTTTTTCAAAATTTAGGACCACCTTGGCCCGTTGGCGCGCCGCTCAACTCGGCGAAATCGACAAGCAGAAGCGGCGACGCCCCCACTTGGCCTCCGAATGCAAAAGTCTCTACGCGTGCGAGAAATGGCGAATGCAAATAATCCGAGAAATCGCGAAAAAAGTCGCCCAGATCCAGAACGCCGGTCTTGGCGAATTCCGCATCCGCGATCTCAACGACGAAATCAACAAACTCTTGCGCGAAAAGCGCCACTGGGAGGACCAGATAAAGGATTTGGGAGGTCCGGACTACCAGCGAACCGGGCCCCGGATGTTGGATCATGAGGGAAAAGAGGTGCCTGGAAATCGGGGCTACAAGTACTTCGGGGCGGCTAAAGAACTGCCAGGTAATTTGAGGCTTTTATTCAAATTTTGTTTATCTACATGAAACCCAAACGGTCTATTATTGTGGTTGGTAACGAGAAAACATCACATTTGAATCGTAATCTGCTAAGTGATTGTGAATAGTCAAGTGGAGTATTGTCTTTACGCTGCAGGAGTCCGGGAATTGTTTGAGCAAGAGCCACCGCCTCCGCCTCGGAAGACAAGGGCGGAGATGATGAAAGATATCGATGCGGACTACTACGGGTATATGGACGACGATGATGGTATACTCATACCTTTGGAGATGGTGGCTGAAAAAACATGTGAGACTTATTAATCAACAACTGACACGAATCCTCATTCATTTTTTTAGCGATTCAGAAGGCTATTGCTGAATGGAAAGAGAAAAAGGAGCGGCAATTGGCACAAGATGAAGATGAAGAAATGCCCGAAGAGGAGCACATTTACGCCGTCGAGGATGTAAGAAAACTACACATAGTCCGGGCAATGAACACATTCAAGGTTACAATAATTCGCATAAAGCTGAAAATTGGTACGAATGTTGGACACCCCATTATAAAAGAAATGTGAAAAGTCCCCATCGATCCCACATCTGCAAAAAAAGTTATTCAAGGTCAAATGTTGCAAAAATGGGATTTTTGCATTTTTCAGCCAAACGGTAAGTTTTATCATAAAAATACATCTGACAAAAATTGTAGAGCATGCAATTCTCTATAAAAACTATTTTTATACTTTTTTTCCTAAGAGTTACCATTTCTGATATATAGCGATTTAAAAAGTTGTGTTCTTCATAACATGCACACGTTTCCACGCCACCTGTGAGGTAGTGTACTTGGCGCGTTTTTTTAATGTAGTTTCCCCGGTAGGCCTATTCCACGTTCTATTGAGGTTCTGTTTAATTAAAAAATATTGTATCAAATGACACATGGTACTATTGGAGATGATAAAAGCGATGTAAATTATGAGTAATATAGAGGAAAATTATTCGTCTGACTGATAGTTATGTGATGGTATTTCAAGTGTACTGTCTTCTTCGTTTTCTTCTTTTCTTTGTTCTTCTTCTTCTTCAATTTTCTGCTGGGTACAAGTAAATTGTTCTAAAAGCGATGACTCAGATGTCTCCTCGCAGATATTGTAGAGCATGCAATTCTCTATAAAAAACGTTCCTATACTTTTTTCCTAAGAGTAACCATTTCTGAGATATAGCGATTTAAAAAGTTGTGTTCTTCAAAATATGCAGACGTTTCCACACCATCTGTGAGGTAGTGTACTTGGCGCATTTTTTTAACGTGGTTTCCTCTCTAGGCCTATTTCACGAGGTTCTGTTTAATTAAGAAATATTATATCAAATGACAAATGGTACTATTGGAGATGATAAAAGCCATGTAAGTTATGAGTAATATAGAGGAAAATTATTCGTCTGATTGATAGTTCAAGTACTTCAAGTGTACTGTCTTCTTCGTCATCTTCTTTTCTTTCTTCTTCTTCTTCATCTTCCTGTTGGGTACAAGTAAATTGTTCTAAGAGCAATGAATCAGATGTCTCCTCGCAGATAAAACAACAATTTCTAAATTGTTTGAAAAACAAGACTTAATTAATTGTGCTGAAGTTTTTCAAAATGGTAATTCTACTCCACAAGTTGTAATCATCAACGGAATTCGCTTTCTTCTTTCTATGCACGGAGCCTCTAAAAAAATTACCTGCTTAGATAAGTTTCAATACTTATCTTTTTTTTTAAAATACTCGTAACAAAAAACGAGTGCAATTGGCATGTCTTCCCCCAACCTCTGTTTCTGCTCAGCAACATCTATTTCGGGTTTATTATCAAGTTCAAGTGTGGCTTGGTAATAAACTGGACCCAGAAGACTGGGGTTGGAAATTAGTTAATAATACATTGGGACCAATTCAGACTTTATTCCCACCTGCACCGGAAAAACTCCTCAATACAATTTTTGCAATTGCAAAAAGTGGTGTAATGCCAAATGTGGTTGCAAAAAAGTTGAATTGTTTTGTTCATTAACATGTACCAGTTGTCAAGGCCAATCATGCTCCAATGTTGAGTCGTTACTAGGAGAAGATGTTTACGATATCTGCGAGGAGACATCTGAGTCATCGCTTTTAGAACAATTTACTTGTACCCAGCAGAAAGTTGAAGAAGAAGAACAAAGAAAAGAAGAAAATGAAGAAGACAGTACACTTGAAATACCATCAGATAACTATCAATCAGACGAATAATTTTCCCCTATATTACTCATAATTTACATCGCTTTTATCATCTCCAATAGTATCATGTGTCATTTGATACAATATTTTTTAAACAGAACCTCAATAGATCGTGGAATAGACCTACCGGGGAAACTACATTAAAAAAACGCGCCAAGTACACTACCTCAGAGGTGGCGTGGAAACGTGTGCATGTTATGAAGAACACAACTTTTTAAATCGCTATATCTCAGAAATGGTAACTCTTAGGAAAAAAAGTATAAGAATAATTTTTATAGAGAATTGCATGATCTACAATTTTTGTCAGATGTATTTTTATGATAAAACTTACCGTTTGGCTGAAAAATGCAAAAATCCCATTTTTGCAACGTTTGACCTTGAATAACTTTTTTTGCAGATGTGGGATCGATGGGGACTTTTCACATTTCTTTTATAATGGAGTTCCCAACATTCGTACCAATTTACAGCTTTATGTGAATTATTGTAACCTGACCCCTATTTTTTAAGCTAATTTGCCCGGACTAACAAAACAAAAACTTTTTCATTGTTACAATCTTTACAGTCTGATGATGAAGATGTTGAGAAGAAGAAAGCTGAAGGGGATCAGAAATTCATAGCTCACGTACCTGTGCCAAGTCAGCAGGAGGTGGAGCAGGCTTTATTGAGGAGACGGAAACAGGAATTGTTGGAAAAATACGGCGTGCAGGAACAAAACCAATCATTATGATCTAATTAAATAAACACTTACCCTATTTTAATTACGGCATGTTTGGATCCTCCCTTAGAATTCCTCTACAAATCAAGGTAAATTCCAAAACCGAGTCGCATAATTTTCTCTTGTTTGCTTTCTCTCTGCAATGAGAATTCTAATTTGGTATAAAAAAATCACGAGGAGTTACCGCAAAACGAGTTTAATGAAATTCTCCTTTTGTTGTCTGGAAATCCTCGGCGACGGGAAGTCTTCCTGTGCCAATAAAGTATTCAACCACCTACTTAGATTATCACAGTATTTTTTATTTAAAGCAAGTAACAAATCACTGAATATATCTACGGACGACCTCGGTGCGGTGCTCCCTAAATTAACGAGAATTCGTAAAACGAGACTTTCACCGTAATTTTGGACAATATTAGCTTGAGCGGTATCGCGACTTTGCGAAATGAAGTTCACTAAGAAACTAGTACACAATTTTAAAGTCTGCGTCTCTGGTAGAGACAAACACAGCACGGCTGCAAATAAAACACTTGTGACTTCAAACAAGACAATCAAACTTAGATTCTCACCACACTGGAACAAAGCAGCGGTGTCAATACCGCTGGCAAACACCACTTGAGGAAGCTTTTTGATTAATTGAGCCATCATTGCGAAGAAGCCTTCAAGCACGTCGGTTTTTTCGGCTAACTGGTTGGCACTGTTTAATTGCGCGCACATTTGAAGCGTTGTGCTGACTATTTCGTGCAAAAGTTGCTGCGTTATAGCGCGATACTCCTCTTCGTGGCCAAACATAATCACCACCTGTCAATGTAAAATAAAAAAATTATTGTCATCTCAAACAAAATTTTAATCGATACGAACCGTTTTAGCGACCATTAAAATATTCGATTGGGGGCATTCCCGGTACACTGTTACCACTAACTGAAGGATGTCGTTAATGAGGGGGGTGCAGTCTTCCAATAATGTGGTCACAACGTATTTCAAAAGAGTACTAAGCTCCTGAAATTTACAACAATCTTAGTTAATATCTATTTGTAAACTATTATTTAGAGTAGAAATAATATCCATTTCAGGAGTAACAAAATCACGAAAATTTCGAAAATCGGTATAAAAGGTTTACAAATTTGATTCCAAAGGGTTCTAATATAGTGATAAACAACGTTAATACAAGCTCAGATTTGCTTTTAGAATTTTTCTAGACCTCGTGGTTTTGAAAATATACAATTTTTAAAGATAATACAAACTGATAACTCTGTAGTATATTTTGATGGACTGTTGCCAACTTTACCCCTTCAGGAAATCTCAACGTTTTACTTATTATTCCTAAGATTTTTTTTTACTTTTTAATATTCTAGATGCATGTAAAAATACGAGTTGCAGAAGGCATGCATCCATGCAAAACTTTGAAAGATTTTTTAATTTAGGGGATTTTGTGTAAATTGATAACGCATAGGTACTGTTATTTATGATCGCCAGTGTTGCCAAGTGTGGTGATTTTCAAGAGTATTTGATGAAAACTTTTGTAAAAATTCTAATATTCTGACATATTTGGTGCTTTCTTTTAGAAATGTAAAAACTGTTATAACTACGGTCACAACAGAAAATTAATACATTTTGAATTTTTTTGCTTTTTTGCACAATCGTCAAGGAACAAAATTCGATTTTTCAGTTACTAACATAATAAATTGCATTTGTTGAGAAATTTGTAAATTTTTGAGCCAGAAATTTTCTTTTGTCGTTTTCGGAGCGTTTTGGTACGTTTTTCAGTCAGAAATGGAATTATTTTGCTAATTTTGGTTAAAAACAAGCTGAAAATTTACCAAAGAGGCCAAAAATGGTGTTTAAACACGTCTTTGAAATAAAAGTGTTTTTTTTCCAGAAATTTCGTTCGATTGCGTTGGAAAATTCAACTCATGAAAACCAACAATTTTTGATGGACTGTTGCCAACTTTATCCCTTCATATAATCTCGACGTTTTACTTAATATTCGTCAGACTTTACTTATTTTTTTATATTCTCGATGCATGTAAAAATACGAGTTGCAGAAGGCATTCATCCAAGCAAGATTTTGAAAGATTTTTTTTTTAATTTATGGAATTTTGCGTCAATTGGTAACGCCTAGGTACTGTTATTTATGATTGCCAGTGTTGCCAAGTCTGGTGATTTTCAAGAGTATTTGATGAAAACTTTTCTAAAAATTCTAATATTCTGACATATTTGGTGATTTCTTTTAGAAATGTAAAAACTGTTATAACTGCGGTCACAACAGAAAATTAATACATTTTGAATTTTTTTGCTTTTTTTGCACAGTCGTCAAGAAACAAAATTCGATTTTTCGATGTAAATTGCATTTGTTGAGGAATTTGTAAATTTTTGAGCCAGAAACTCAATTATTTTGCCAAATTTTCTCAAAATTTAGCACAATATCACCAAATTAATTAATTTTTTCTACGAGATTTCAGTCGACAGCGTCGAAAAATTGCTAATTGGATCGAAAAGAACATTATTTTTGTCTTTTTCTGAGCGTTTTGGTACGTTTTTCAGTCAGAAATGGAATTATTTTGCAAATTTTGGTTAAAAACAAGCTGAAAATTTACCAAAGAGGCCAAAAATGGTGTTTAAACACGTCTTTGAAATAAAAGTGTTTTTTTTTCCGAGAAATTTCGTTAATACTGGCTAAAAAATTACCAAATCAGATTACCGTTGGAAAATTCAACTCATGAAAACCAACAATTTTTGATGGACTGTTGCCAACTTTATCCCTTCAGATAATCTCGACGTTTTACTTATTATTCCTAAGATTTTATTTATTTTTTAATATTCTAGATGCATGCAAAATACGAGTTGCAGAAGTCTGAAATAATTTGCACTTCTTGAGAATTTTGTGCAGAAACTCAATTATTTTGCCAAATTTTCTCAAAATTTGTGAAAAAATCAAATTAATATTTTTTTTTAGGAGATTTCACTCGACAGCGTCGAAAAATTGCTAAATTGGATTGAAAAGTACATTATTTTTGTCTTTTCAGAGCATTTTGGTCGGTTTTTCAGCCAGAAATCGAATTATTTTACAAATTTTGGTTAAAAACAAGTTGAAAAATTATCAAATAGGCCAAATATGATGTTTAAGCACGTTTTTGAAATAAAAGCGTTTTTTTTTTAAATTACCAAATCAGATTGACGTTGGAAAATTGAAGTATAACTGACATTTGCGTCGTGTGATAAATTGTCACCAACATTAAAAACATAAAATACACTATTATTATTAACGCACTCTGAAAAGCTTTTGACGCAAAATAATAATAGAAAAAACTTTAAAATCACCCAATAAACAAATGACTTACTTCCATGACGTCCCCACTTGTGCAATACTTCTCACCAATGACCTTATACAACGGCATTGTATTTTGCATCACTAAAACAGTCGGTTGTTCTATAATTTGCGTTTGGCTCTTCTTAACACATAGCGAATTAAATAACGACGATAAAACTTTAAGTCTTGTAACTAGTGAAGTTTTCACAGCTGGCGACTAAAAAATTAAATAAATAATGAAATCTCTTGTTGATTACCAACATACCGGTTCAACATTTAACAAATCTTGCATTTCCTTAAAAGAGGGGGCCAAGATTATATTGAGATACTCCATAATACGTGGAACTGGTAGAATACTCAAAACTTTTCCTATACTATACATAAGTCTACTGCACTCGGCCAATTTTAAAGCGCCCCCTTGCAAAGCAGACTGAAAAATGACTTAAGTAACAATTCAAAATGGCGGAAATGACTTACTTGTGCCGCTAATAAAATATGGTCAGCGTACGGCAATAAATACTTCTGGCAACTATGCGTCAAGTCTTTCAATGCCATGGTGGCGCTAGTGGCAACCTCGGGCTTGTCTAAAGCCGAAATCACCAATGGTAATACATTTTGCAACATTTCGGGATGCTCAGTGATCCAATCCGAGTATGAGCCTACTGTTTCTAAAGCCGAAGCCATGACCTTTTTATGCAAGTCGGTAAATGGGATTTCTTTAATTGTCACCATCAGCTTCGGCAAATACAAATTTTCTAGTTCGATAGACTCGGCAATCGCTCCAAATGCGTGAAGGCAAGTCTCGACTTCGTTCCACTGAATCGGCGGGGGAACCACTGAAGTACTATTCTTGTGTAAAGCTTCAATCAATTTACTATTCAAAATATCAAGCATTTCTAAATTTAAAACGTTGTAGCAGTATATGAACGTATCGGCGATGTCCTGTCGGTAACATCGGAACACTTCCTTATCGTCCAACGACCAATCGCCGTCTTCGTTCAACGGAAACATGGACTTTCGCAACATTATACAAACTAAATCACGATAATACGGTTTTATCATTAGTAACAATTGGGCGCATTCCGCGGTTTCTAACGATAAGATATCATCTTGCAAAGTGTACCAAAACCCGAAAGTTAGGGTACTGCTTGACTCATCAACGGGGTACAAGCCGGGCAGATTTGTACACTTCAAAATTGAGTTGAAAAAATCGAAACTGATTCGTTGCTCGTCCACATTCTCCGATTTCAAATTATTGATGAAAATCTTCGAATGCACGTCAGCTATGGTCACCAACAAACCATAAAGATTGGCCACAATGTCCTTAAAAGTGTCTTAGTAATCGAATGAACAAACAAACAAACAAACTTACTTTATTAGACTCGGGACTATTCCTTTCACATTCGAGTATTTTCTCAAATTTGTACAACATGTCAGCACTGCATTTCATCACATGGTTGTGGTAACGGTTAGTATGGGGGTGCTGGATTATGGTCGTTAGCGCCTCCACAGTCACTTCCATCAATTCCATTTCTTCCGGAGACATGCATTCAGGATCCGTCTTGTTCCTTCATTATTTTTATTTAGAAATGTACAAAACTGACTCTTGAACTTACCAATACACGAAACATGTCAAGTTTATTAAAAGATTCATAACTGAAGTACAATCATCGATGTTTAAACCCCCTAACTGGATCCAAGCGGAGGCGCATCTCGCCGCGTTTAAATACGTCGTCAAATTTAGCATATCAAAGCTGAAAAATAGCAAATAAATTTCAAACTTTGAAGTTAAGTTGGCAACATTGAATTATTGGTGATGTTGCATTGTGCCGGTGACGGGCCTGCCAGTGTCCGTCCGTCAGAAATGACATGACAATTAAGTATAAAAATGTGACGTTTAAATGAAATAGTCGATGTTACCAACTTAATTGGAAATAAATACCCGGCACTTGGAAGTGGCATAAGACACATCTCAACTACTTTAAGGATGTCTTTGGAAACGTCTTGTAAGACCGTCCGTACCCTCATTCTTTGGCTTACTGCTAGCAACGTACTTTGAAACTAAAAACTAGATATTTTTGACTGAATCACGAATTTAGCAATTGTACCTCTTCTGGTATCACAGTCAAGATTTCTAAAAGTATCCAAATGACTCTTTCCGGCTCAACATTGGGCAGATGTTGGGGCTGGAAACTCGAAACCAGTTCTTCAAACGCATTGGGCCAGTGCGTGGGGACAGTGTGAATAATATAAGCCGATAACTGAAATAAATTCTAAGTGAATGCTGACCAAACATAACGACTTACCGTAATGCAAAGCCTGTTCAAGACGATCTTGGGGCCCATGGCATAATTAATGATAGCCTCCAAAATGCGCTTCTTTAACAGCTCGTAATGATCCTCGGGGACTTCATTCCAGTGTTTCATCAGCTTCGTATGGAGAGTTGTAGCAGCGAAAAACTGCACTTCGGAATTCTACAAATATAACCTCACTTTTTGTACCATTGACAAACTAGACTTACTCGGTGGGGGCTCAACAATTCCCATACGAAGCTCCAAGCTTGGGGCGAATTTTGGGCCTCGGTTAACCACTGGTGGGCCTCCGCTTGTTGCCCCGCTTCGGTTCTGTAAAATAAGGTTACGGCCTTTTCCAAATTTTCAGCCGTATATTCCATGCTTGATTCTAATCAAAACCAAATCTTCTTTATAATCAAAGTGTAATTAATTACGATTTTGTATTTACTTTGCTACATTTTACGGATTGACAGGCGCGAGACGTCGATAACTGTCAAAAATTGGCTCTTGTCAACAGTCATATGGCTCAAATGGGGTAATATCGCGGACTGAAAGGGGGCTGTCAGATAATGGAAATTGTAAAATTTTCGAGCAATCTTCTTGGAGAGTAATACGACAAATGGTTACAAATTTAGGAATCGGTTTGAGGTTATGTCAAGTAGAGCCAAATTAAACCATAATGGACGTTGATAAAAAGAGACGGGCTACTTGCGCAAATGTCAAAAACTAGTTCTGTCTCTTTTATCGATGTATATCTTCGATTTACTGGACTCTAGTTCTTAATTTTATTAAACAATTCCTAATTTGGAAAGATTATTTTCATATTAAACTTGTAACAAAACCGAAAGTTTTTCTTACACTTTTATTTAGAAAATAATAACTTTTTATAAAAAATACATTTCAAAAATGGGAGATTCTGATTGGGCAATAAAGTAACTATTCCGGGACTACCAACATATAAAACTGAGACTTTTTAAAAATTAAAACTTTATAAAACCGTTTTAATTGGCAAATATTTAAAAAAAAAATAGAATTCATTGAGATCAATTTAAATCAATCAATGTCCGGAAAAAAAACTGTTATCATTTCCGCCTTAGATATCGCGTTATGTTGGTTGCATATCCAGATACGTCATTTCTTTTGGCAGTTGGGTGAATATAAAAATGGCGGATACCTCTGAAAGTGAGTTTGTTTAACAACATATAATTTTAGTTTTTGTTATCAGTGTTGCGATAACCGTGAAAATAAAATTAGATTTAGAACAGTTGGAGGTATGTTTTGATTTTTGTTTACTTTTATAGATTTGGATAATAGTGGTAACCAATCTAGCCTTAACCCCCCAATAACAATGAAAGTAGATACACCTGCTGAAGAAGGCAAAACAGGTAAATTAAACATTTATATTTGCTCGTGTTTGCTTTATTGCATCATTTTAGAAGCTGGTGATAATGAGAAAAACGATAAAAATGAAGAATTCAAAACTTGTACTTCTGATAGAATTCCAGTAACAAATGTTGCAACAAATCCATTCGCTAGTTCGCAGAATAAATTGGTAACTCGTGGCATTTTGAAGCCGCCTCAGTTGAGTCTCAACAACGCTAATAATTCCGCAAAACCGTCAGTTGTTCTAAACCCCAGTCGACTAAACCCGTTTGCTAAGCCGTCGTCAAATGAGAACTCCAAGGAAGAGAATAAAACGGTCCAATTGAATGGCGAAACACCAAAATTCGTACCACTCGTGCAAACCGAACCAAAAACGAATTCAACTCAACCGGTGGTAACAACAGCGAGCACGACACTTTCCACAACATCCTTTGTTTTTGGGCAAAATCTTCAAGATCGTGTTGTGGGCAGTGAAACGAAGTCAGACGAACCCAAACCCTCGACGAGTTTAAACTCGAATGGGACGTCGGAAATGTTGTTTAGCAGCGCTATCAAAAGTGAGGGGAAAACCGACGGAACTATCACCAGTAAAGAAACGAAATCGTTGAGCGAGTCTGCGAGAGAGTACGAGGAGTCGAGGGCAAACAAGAGGAAGTACGAAGAGGTGGAAATCATAACTGGGGAAGAAAACGAAACGAATATTTTAAACATTAATTGTAAATTATTCGCGTTTGATAAAGCGTCTGGGAGTTGGCAAGAGCGGGGTCGAGGGGTTTTAAGGCTGAATGATTTCGAGGGCGACGGACATGTCCAAAGTCGACTGCTTTTCAGAACCACGGGGATTTGGAGGGTTATATTGAACACCAAAGTGAGTTTAGTTGAGTTTGGGGGGCTTTAAGTTATGATTGATTTTCAGATTTGGGCAGAAATGACTGTAGAACAGGCTAGTGAAAAAAGCGTGCGGTTCACGGCGATGGACCCACAAGGTGTGATCAAAGTTTTCCTCGTAATGGTATTAAAGCTACAATTTTGTTTTATTTGGGTTATGATGTCCTTGTTTCAGGCTAGTATTGAAGATAGTAAACAACTGTATTCCCAGATCCAGCTCAGAGTGCAGAAAGAAATAGCAGCCCAAAAACATAGAAAACTTAATGTAGATAAAGACTCAGGGGGCAATTAAACTGTTTGCTAATAAAATATTTTCACGGTACCATTGTGCAGAGTTCATTTTGATAACTACAAATGTGATGTAAATTAAGTTTTAATCTTTAAACAGTAACGTTTTTACAGAATTTTTGTCACGCTCATCGATTCTAGTTATTTAAAATCTGAAAATTATGATTTAATTGAATGTGTTATATTTTGTAATGATAAGCAATAAAACTTTGAAAAAAGGACAAGTTTATTTTTGACATGCCTTAAACAATCTCAAAATATTACAAACTTTTAAAACTTCCAAAAGAAAATAAAATTTGTAAAAAAGACCAACAGTATATTTTTTGGGGCATACAAAAATAACAATTCTGCACAATCTCAAATTACACAATATCAAAAGCCTTATTCAAAGTTTCCAAGTCCCGATTATCCACCGCCGCCCTTAGTTCGACTTTATTTAACAGAGAGATACACATCCGTAACGTGGACCATATCGTATCCGACATTTGCGACATTGAGGGTGAATTTTTTACGTCCCTGCCCCTCGCCTGTTGGTTGAGAGCAGTCAAAAAGTGTTCAGCGGCCTCCCTGCAAAACACCTTTCAAAACAATCCGATTTACTGCAAATATAATTCACCTATAGGCCCTTAAATTTATACAAATTATTCCTACGTTATATCGCGCTCGTATAAAACCCGGTTCGAGCTCTAGGGCTCGATGGTACGCTTCTACAGCTTCCTCCGATTTGGACCCGTTTGCAAGCGTCGCCCCTAATCTATTCCATAATTTGGCATCCTGAAAAAGCGAAAAACTTAACAAATACCTCAAAAATCGATAAACTTACGTCATATTTTACAGACAGCGCTGCACGAAAACAGTCAGCAGCCTTTTCATACTCTCCAGATAAGTTAAACAGGACACCTAGACCACACTGTACTTCGTAATCAATATCCACAGGTTGTCGTAACGCGGCTTTTATGTACAAATCCTGGATAAATTTCTGTTGGTTCCTGCATCCAGTTGCACAAATTAAAACACCTGATCAAGTGGGCTGTCACTTTGAAATTAAGTTGGCAACACTGAGTAGTAAAGTAATGTGCGGTTTTTTTGTTATTTGCGTGTGGTTAAATTAATAAATCGAAAAACGTACTTATTACTATCTCTTTTCAACATTTGTAAACAGTCTCGTTGCTCTGTCACTACATATTTTTTGTGTAACGTCAGTCACGCTATTTATACTCGTTTTCATATTAATGTGCATCGAAGTAGTTGTTGAAAGGGATCATTTTAAGGTGGCAACCATGCGAAAATTCAAACAATCCTAAACTCAATCTTCCCTAAAAAATATTTTTTCAAATAAATGTGTACCTCATGTAGCAAAAAATTGTTAAAATTAACAACATAATCAACATAGGATATAGCAAACATAAAGATTTTTGTCATTATTGATGTGATTAATTTTTTTTTGAATGACTATAATGACAGTTTTTGTGTAAATCGGACTTTAAATTAAAGATTCATTTAGACTTCTACAACCTATTGATGCACATTAATATGAAAAAGAGTATTTTTCACTTTAACAAATGCGATTAAACTAACACAGGGCTAATAACGTACGTCAAAAATGTATCTTGTTGTCACACAACTGCAATATTTATATTCTCTATATTATTATAATAATCATAATTCAAGTCCTATAAAAAATTAATGCCAGGGAGGAACTAATTTTTGAGCTGTCAAATGTCAAAAACAGTCATGTCGAGTTCATGATTCGCAAATAATTTAAAAAAATGGACAATAGTCCCGGTGACAGAAATGTATTGGCAACACTGAGTTATGTGAAAATTGCATGTGCCAAATAAGATTTTAAATTTGATGCCAATTTGAGGATAAGTCACAGTCATTTGTAGGAATTTGATCACAGTAATGCCAACTGAATTTCAAAGTCACGGCCGCTTTGACGGGAATTAACTGAACACATGGAGACATAAAAAGGGGTTATTACAGAAGCTGAGCTTATCACTAATGAAATGTTAAAATAGCGTCAAAGAAGCCCGCCCAAGCATCACTTACGGCTGTAAAAAGCTTGTAACTTGCCCAGTTAGTTGAAAATCAGGTGGCACCAAATCGCTGTATTTCGGGTTATTCGCCAACCATTTGAGCAACATTTGCGCAGCTTGACTGTAGTAACTTTCGTTGGTGTAGCAAACAGCCAAGGCCATTAGCGCCGTTAAATTATCGGATTCTAATTCTAGACATTTTTTCAATGCCGGTATGGCATTGCAATCCTATAAAAAACAATCAAAATAAAGCAAAACGTCTTGTTTATAAAAGACCTGTTCATTCTCCGCTTGGGTTTTTCCTAATAATAGCCAAGCTTCGCTGTTTTCAGGTTCTTGTTTTACGGCTGCTTCGAAACATAAAACGGCTGAAGGCAGGTCGCCGTCTTCGAGTAATTTTTTGCCTCGTTGTAAAGGATCAGGGATATCAAACATGGGATTCTCTTCGGTAAATGTGTAATCGTTGTATGGGGCTGTGTAATAGGAATCGAATTCGTTCGCCCATGTGTTTTCGCTCGATTCCGCTCCGTCGAGAGTTTGTTTTAGTTCTTCTTGGAGGTTGCTCCAAAATTGGGAATTGTAATCGTCTTCTGAAATTTAGTGCTCAAGGCTAATTCACGACCTAGTCAATCATTCAAATATTTGAAAATAAAGAAGAGACCAAAAGCGTATTTCCCGAAATTGTTGGAAAAATTAAAAAAATTACAGAAATCTGTAATCTTTGAAATTATACCAAATGACTAAATAACTGTGTTAAAAAATCTATTGACAACACTGAATTATTAGTAATCCTTCTAGTCAGTCACATGAGATTGTTTTAGGTGATGGCTATGCGAGCACACGTACAACAATTTTTTTCTAGAAAACAGTATTACAGAAACCTGTAATACATGATTTTAAAATTATGTATTGACAATCAGAATATTTGCAAGAGAAACAAAAGTTAATCAAAAAAATCTTAATCCAACAACATGTTATGGGCTTTTTGAAATTATTTACAAACATTTCAAACACAGTTAATACTCATTCAAGGTCTGATGAAAACAAGAGATATCTCGTACATTCACGTGAAACATTTATGCAGAAGTGATGTAACTTTAGAATTAATGAGGTAAATGATCAGTTTTTTCAAGAAAAAGCAATTGTCAAGTCAATGTGAAAGTCGTTTGTCCGATTACCGAAGTTCTTTTCCCATTTCTTGGCCACTTTTTCAATATCAGCTTCAGTTTTCTTTTTTTCTTGCATAAACTCCTTGCTCCAGGACTGCGCCTCCTCTTCCGTCAACCTCCCGTCCTCCAAATTAACATCTCCATCGCCGACTTGTTTCATGAATCTCATAAACTGGAATTTATTCATTATTTACTGTCCCCAAACCTTGACGTAACGTCTGACCTTCGAATATACAAATTTGGGGTCATCAACAGCCTCTGTCAATTCCCAGGCGCTCTGTTGTGAGGCATTTATCTTGCTTGGTCCTGGGAGTATCTCTGGAAAATTATCTGTACCCCAGTCGTCCTCAACAGAGGCGTTGTTTTGCTCTTGCGACATGATTTCTGTCCAAATTGCCTCACTATTTACATTGTCCTTGAACAAAAATGACAGTGCAAAATCTCCAAATATTGATTATTTACATTGAAGACTTTTCCATCGTCTATGTACTGTTGTGCCCACGCGTCGTCGTGGATCTGGTCTTTAATCGTCGAAGCGGGAATTGGCGGCAGGGCTGACCTTTGAGACTCGATCTCATGCATTTCTCGCATCAAATCTGGAATTGGTCACAGTTAGGTTTGCACGGCTCTGATACGCCTGGGGGCCCTACCGTCCATTCTGAAGCTCTGGGGCACCGATTTCGTCTCTTGTAAAAACTGCTCGACCAATTGGTCCGAGCTGCTGGGAAAGGCATGTCCATGGGCCTCGGCGAAGGCATGATCATGGGTTAGGTGCGATGTCAAACGGGCCAAGGGGTTCTTCTGCCCGCACTCCGCTTCAGTTAAGGGATTGAATGCCATTTTGCTTGGTTTTGGAGGAGTTTACACAAAGAAATGCATTTTATCAAAACAAATTCCAGATTGACGTAAGTGACACTGACAAGGCCACTGACACGCCTGCCAATATCACCAAATACTTGTAAAAAGAACCGGAAAATAAAACTTGTTTTGTTAATAAAATGTTTATTAACACAACAAAGACTACCACAATGTGAAAATTATTATTACTCAACAACTCCTAATTCAAATAATTAAAAAAATCTGATAAAATGACTACCAACATTGACATTTTATAGTCCCCAAAAACTTCAAAGAACTCTCGGAAAATAAAACACTTTCTTAAAATATATGTTTATTACATAATTATAACACAACAAAGACTATCACAACATGAAAGTGGCTATTAGTCAACAAATTCTGATTAAAATAAATTAAATCTGATAAAATATTTGGCTTGAAAGGATAAAGTACAGTTGAGTTCTTCATTGTAGAATTCACTCGGTATATTAAAATACAAAAAGTTGATATGAGTTTTACATATGTTAAAAATTTCGTTTCCATAAAATTACGACAACTCAAATCCAGTATTACAAGTGACAGCATACCGTAATTTTTCTCTTAATGTGCTCTTCTTCTGGTAGTTGGGTAGTTTCAGAAGATTAAAACAGGTAGAAGACGTAGGTAAGCGATTTTGTGGGTCCTTTTTCCGTATCGTGAAAAATCCCCGAAAGACACTTCCTGAAATTTGATTTTAAGATCCTTCTAATAAATTACAAGACTAACCAATTGTGTCTCCCGTGTCTTCATCGTCTCCAACTTCAACACATCTAATGGAAAACGGGGGTTCCAAATGGGCAAACCCGAGTAGTGGCGGTTTGGAGCAACTTGTAACAAACTACAAGTAGCAAAATTAGGAAAAGAAAATTAAAAATTGGGGTAGCACCTTGAGAAACATCCCTTTTTCCTCTTCTGTAAAATCTTTTTCAAGAATATCCCACAACCACCCCACCACACGATGCGAGTCGTGAAAACCCCCATAATACTGAGTGTGTTTCCTCAAATCTTTCATATCTAACGGAACATTATCACCCGAGATTAGCCGTTGCAACTAAAAATTAATCGAATTAAAAAATCATCATTTTCATCGTTCGAAAATCCCACTTCAGGTGTGGAAAACAACGACAACCAATCAGGATTGATAATCGAGCGAAATCCGCGAATAAAAGCACTAGTTTGGTCCTTAATTTGCACATGCATTCGAAAATGTGCCATCAAATGAATATAATTGATCCTAAAACCCACAATTCAGACACAAAACTGCTTAAAAATCAACCCACTTGTTCTCATTCGTCACAGGGACGGCTTTGCCCCCCGCCACCAGCTCATGAGTGACCACCTTCCCCATACACTCCTCGTCTAAACTAAACGTCAAGTCCAAATCCGACACATCTCCATCGTAGTGTTTCACATAACTCAAACTTCGATACAATTCGGGGTCCAAAGAGGGCAATTCGTCGACACAACTGTACAAAGCTTGAGCCGTTTGTCCTGAAACTTGACTTAGAAAAAACGACGCGAAAGGCACATCGACTACAATTCCTTCGTAGACGGCTTTACCCAACATCCGACCCACAAACTCAAACAATTGAAGGTGGTTGTCTTGCAGATAGGAACTGGGTGAAGGGTACAACCGCTCCTCACTTGTCACTTTAAACAGATTCAACGAAGGGTCAAAAATACGTTTGATACTCTCCTCGAGAAACTCTTTGAAAACGCCGTCTTGGTCAATCCCGGCCTCGTCCAAACCTTGCTCGTTGATAAACCGAACCCTAATCACACCCTTGAGGGCTTGAGGCGGGAGAAGGGCCAATTGGCGATAGCCGTCTTCCACAATTCGAGACCTAGAGGTAGTTTTCTTAACAAGAGAAAATAATAACGGCTGGTTTACCTATGAACTGTGATCAGAGTCGACTGGGGAGAGGCACAAGCCGATTCGGTTAAACCCAAAACGGTTTTCTCGTTCGTTATATACTTTCGAAACAGTCGCACTCTATCCTCATGTGGGATGATATGTGGCATTGTTTGGAGGAGCAATTGGGGGGCTTTACGCCCTTTCTCAAGGTCAGCCATAAACGACGATATCTTGACGTCTTTAAGCAACCAATGGCCTTGAGGAGTGTACGTTCTTCGACAATCGCGCCGATACAGCAACATTAATAAGGTGTGAAGAGATTGGAACAGAGGGTTCGACTGAATTGTCTTTAAATCTGCAAAAAATTTAAATTGACTCTCGATCAAGTAGCCTGTGAATGTCGACTTAGGTTTGCAACACTGAGGAAAATAGAGATAGAAGATATGAAATTTGATATTCCACATCCTCTGTCTTTATCTTTTCAATATTGCCAACTTAATTTCAAAGTCAGGTCACTTGATCGCAAATTTACCAAATAAATTTCCTAAGATGGCTTTATACAAAAACGTGTTTAAAAATGAAGATAAAACAATAAAGTCGGTTAATTTAAAAGGGTTTTGTTGTTCGTACATTTCCACATCGTCTAGGATCCTAAAATGAATCAATTAACTCTTTTTTGGGATAAAAACCGCCACTTACGTTACATAATGCGTCATGCAATCGCAAAACAGTTGCAACATTTGAAACTCGGGGGCTGTACACTTTGTGTTAATTGCAAGATGATCAAGGAAGGTTTTAAGCCCACAATTTGGTCCCAATGAACACAAAAACAGCCACAAATCGTACAAAATCGAATTCTGATAACACAATCCTTAAAATCAAATTTTAGACACAATTCTCCCAATTTTGTCCCCAAACCTGTTAAAATATCTAACTGTAATTGAGTCAAAGTATTCAAAGCTGTGTGATACAACGAACACACTAGTACAACTCTGTGAACTTCGGGACTCCCCAACGCGCGATAATTCTTCTGAGTGTTGGTTTTGTTCCCTCTCGATTCCAACACCTTCTTGAAGAAATTCGACCCGCTGAAATTGGTATTTTGTGGACTTGAGCTCGGCTGTGGCGAGTCCACATTTAAGACGAGTTGTTGTAGGAGGTTGCCTAAGAGAATTTGCACAATCGGGGAGTTCCACAAGAGGTTGAGTTGGATTTTTACGTGGGGCATTGCCGCGTTTAAGGCTGGGTCCATGGGTTGGGCGAACCAGCCCAGCACTGGGTGCCAATGGGTGAGGTTAGATTGTTTGTTAACTACGTAGTTTTGGCAACTTTCGAGTAAACCCGTCACCACGACCTGGAATTTGATGTAGAGTTGGGGGGTTTATGGGGGCTTGAGGGCGTACTGTAAAAGTCGGGAAACTTAAGTCTTTCAAAGCGGAGTCTCGTTCCATGTAAGCCAACTGGAGGAGGTTTGCGAGGAGGCAGAGGGCGTAGCTCCCTTCAAGAGTGTTGAAGACGATGCGCATTGATTGTTGGCTTGATAACAGTTCGAGACTTTTTGAAAACAATTTGTGGTTGTTTATTGTAGATATGCACTAAAAATTGAACTTTTAATTCTTGTTTAGCAATAAGTTTGAATACCTCTGGTGTTAAGTTATCTAAATGTTGAATCAGCGCAGGAACTGATAAAATATGAATAAGAAACATTGTCATAAGCTTATCAGAGAAATTGGCAGCGATTAAAGGTCTCAAAGCCAGGGTTAAAATTGCAGATAAAGTGGCATGTTTGAAGGCAATTTTTATTCTCCCCAAACCTCTCAATAAGAGACTCTAAAAACCAAACAAATTATTGAAAAAATAACATTTGAATGATGTTCAACCTTCAGTACTAAATAGAACCCTTTGTGGAACAATTGCCCCATTAAATTAGCACACAACTGGTTCATCCCCGACTTTAAAACTTCCATATTCTTATTTTTCAACACAATCCAGTTACTAGTGCTAGTGAAAGAAACTAACACGTGCAAATACAAAACAATTGATTTCATATCACCAGCAAACTCAGGTTTCAAGTCATTTAAGTATTCACAGCACTTCCATAGAATATCGTTCATATGAGAGATCCATCTTATCACATGTTCTTTACTAAGTGCCACCCCCACGTAACTCAACTTGGGGGATTCACACTCAAGAGTAGCAACTAAATATCGACATAGCTTCTCAAACCTGTCTTTATCCCGCTCCTTGCGCCAAATAAGCAGCAATCTACACGACTGGTTGTAAACTTGAACAGCAGCTTTGAAGCTCGGTTTAGCCCCATCTTCGGGGACTTCCGGTATTGTGTCATCAAACTCTCGTCTGGAAAACAGCAATTTAACGTTTGTGGAACACGTTTAAGGCAAATTTACAAAATATCGCGTGAGAATGTGACTCGGGTGAGCCACCCCCTCACACTTGCTTGGATCAAAGTCGCAGCATTTTCCTTCTTCTTTTCGAAAGCTCGCTCCTCTCTGGCAGCTTTAGTTTGCTCTAGGAAACTACATTTAGGGTTGTCCGCTTTGTGGAACATATTGAACTGGAAAATTTGGTTTGTTTTGGAATTTCTATCACATTTAAGGTTTGCGTTGCTGTTGACACACGAAATCACCGTTCACGACATATTTATACACGATACGGAGGCTTTTGCGCCCTTTTTTGCCCTTTTCTAGCGATTTTAAGGACCAAAGGTGTTTTTTGCTTTTAAACAATAATATTATTTTAGGTCTGGCAACACCGGTGCATTGTTTTTTTATCTGTCACTGTCATCCCTTTCATCGCTTTACCTGGCGTCAATAGCCGATTAAGTCAAAACAAAATAAAGAATTTTGTAATAAAATGGCAATAACTTTTATTTGTTATTACAAAATATAAAACTAAGCCTAACAATTTAAATCTAATTTTTCTAAAGACATAAGAAGTAACAATTCGTGTTAGATTTATTTTAACTTTTCTCACAATATGACGTTACTAGCTTTAGACAACTTTATCACCTGTCACATGTCATAAAATGTAAACATAACCTAAGAAATATAACGTGTCAAAGGATAGTTTTTATTAATTTTAACACAAAAAATGACTACGGAACCAATTGCCTTGCCACAGAAGCGGTATTACAGACAGCGGGCCCATTCTAACCCCATCGCCGATCATTGTTTTGACTAGTAAATATCAACTTTGTTTTACATTGTTTCTACATTGGTTTGTAGCCCCCGAACCCCCGATGACATGGACTGGTCTTCATATTACCCCGAGGCTAATCCAGTAGTTGAGTTTGCTGACATTGGTTGCGGCTATGGGGGCTTACTAATCACCCTGTCACCACTTTTCCCAAAAACGCTCATGTTAGGGATGGAAATCCGGGTGAAAGTGTCCGACTATGTGATGGATAGGATAGCCGCGTTAAGGTCACAAAATCCGGGTCAATATCAAAATATAGCATGTTTGAGGAGTAATGCCATGAAATATTTGCCTAATTACTTCAAAAAAGGCCAAGTACAGGATTCAAACACTTTAACGTTTTCATTTACACTCATTTTCAGTTAAAGAAAATGTTTTTCTTGTACCCTGACCCACACTTTAAGAAATCTAAGCACAAATGGCGCATCATTAATCAATCTTTACTCGCCGAGTACGCCTTTGTTTTGGCAATAGGAGGGGTAGTTTACACCGTAACCGATGTTAAAGAACTCCACGAATGGATGAAACAACATTTCAATGAACATCCTTTATTTGAACAAATCCCTGATGAGGAACTGGTACACGAAACTACTCCCACTTTCATTTTTACAATTACTTGATTACAGAAACTTGATCCAGTGGTGGACAAACTCTTTGATAGCTCTGAAGAAGGCCAGAAAGTGACTCGAAACGAGGGCGACAAGTTCCTAGCTGTTTTTCGCCGAATTGAAGACCCATTTTGTCAAAAATAAATCATACAAACCTATCAGTTTTTCTCGCAAAAGGCCCCACATGAAACGTTGCCTCCAAACTATGCGTCACCGCTTCTTTGGAAATTTCGCCAATTTCCGACAATTTTGCTTGAGTGAAGAATTTTTTCGTCTCGTGTTGTTTGGCCTTTTCCTCGAGTTTAATTTGCGAGTACAGGGGGTTGGGTTCGTTTTTCATGATGTGTATTTTCTCGCGGAAATAGTCACAGAAGACAGCATCACTGGAGTCAGGTGTGAGAAGAAAAAAAATTAAAAATGGTTACCTGGCTAAATATTCGAGAACATTTTTTGTTAGTTCTTTCGCAATGAGTGGTTCGTCAATTTTACATTCTTCTTGGGTTATTTTTTCGATTGGCGGTCTAATTGGACGTTCTTTTTCTTCAGTTGCTTTGAAATATTCTTCTAAAAATTGATCGACGTCGATGGGGATTGTATCACAAGGTTTTTGCTTCATTTGGGATTCGAGGGAAAGACAAGTGTCGCGGTCCGAGTACCCAATAACGTTAATTGTTACCGGCAATGTAATATTAAAGAATTCGGGCATTGGTGGTAATTCAATGTCTTCAATTTCCTGTAATTAAATTACATAAAATTGTGATAATAATAAACAACAACAACTTTATTTTCATTTTCTTCAGTTTCACCCGATATTATGAATTCCTTGAGTGAACTTCTCCGTCTCTCATTTAATAACTTCGCAGATTCGTTGTACGACAATAACTGGTCGTAATCAACAAATTCACAAGAAAATAAAGGTTCAACACTGCAAGGTTCATTCAGGGATGAAATTTTTAGTATCACAGGTTGGGCTTCTTGAGGTTTCAAGAACCCGTCATTAGTTAACGCTTCCATTTTCACCAAACCATCGATTAAGCACCTGAAATAAAATTTCATTTTGTTTATTCCTCCTTAAACCACGATTACGTTTTCCATCGATACTGAATCCGATGATTTCGGTCCCGATTCCGAATGAAGAACAACCGTTGGGTGGAACTCGCCACCAAAAGTGGCTCCACCACTAGGCGATCCACCGACAAACTCACAACATTGTTGTACAACGGTTTTTGGGCCAAATTTGCAACATCTTTAAATTCGCATTGTTTTATTTGGTCCGTCCCGTAGCCTTCAATTTGCAGTGTCGCAGGCTGCGTCCCTAGCATCAGGGGCACTATAACCTGTCTTAAATTAGTTCAAGTTACGGAGAACTACATACTAGGAGACGAAACGAGATACAAAATTGCTCAATTTTTTGAACTCAAAAAAGTAGTACGTAAAAATGAGGGCGTTTTACCGTCTCAGTTTCAAATCGTTTTAAATTAATTTAAATTCAACCAATGTACTAATTGCTTAGAAAAGAATGAAAAAATGTTGAGCTTTACATTCTTAATAAGATGTGAAAAACGAACGGCAAAATTTTTGCACGAGAAATAAGAAAAAAAAAATTATAATTATAAATCTGTGCACCGTTTCATGTTTTTCAAAATGCTGCGAATATGATTGAAGATACAAGAAAAATGTAAGAAAGAAAGTTGTAGAGAATAAAATTTTCTAGTAAAAAGTTCGCGAGACCATACATCTATCTGCCAGAGGAACACTGAAAGCAATTTAAACCTAAACCGTTAAAGATAGAAATATAGTTTCGCGAACTTTTTTGTAGCAAATTTAGTCTAGTCAAATTATACAAATCGGTGGAAAAAAATCCTAGAGAGTTGGAATTTTTTTAAACGCTTTCTTTGCACTTGGGTAGACATATATATATCAAAAGTCCCCGTAGGTGGTGGGCGAGCTCGAGGAGGGGGAGGGAGTTAAAGATGTCTTTTTTTGGGTTTTTGCTTATATCTCGAAAACTATCACTCCTAGCGGTTTTTACCTTCTTATCAAAAGTAAATCTTACAAAATTTCCTACAAAAATGGTCCTTTGCATTTTTGTTATAAGGCTGACAAAAAACATCATTCAAAAAAATATGCTTTATCCGCATTTAAAATAGAATTAGTCTTTTAATTTGAAAAAAACTGATAGTAAATTGAAATAACTAGATCCAATACTTTATTAAAGGAGGGGGAAGTCACAAGGGTCTATGAACTCATCGTTTACATAAACGATAAATTACATAATTTATGCAGCATTTTCTATAGAAGTCTACTTATTTCTGCATCAAAATTTCCTACAAAAATGGTCCTATTCATTTTTGTCGTAGGACTGAAGTCCTACACATTTTATTAAAGTAGTAGGTATATGGTAAATATTTATATGTGTAGAGCGTTCCCCAACTAAGATGGTCTGCCTAAAAGGTGATTCGGGTGTAAACATTTAAGTAAACGGAGATATAAATAAAAATTTTAGGAGAAATAGAGAATCGATTTTAAATGGGGTGTAAACCTTCAAACAAAGATATAAACATAAAATTCTTTAGAGGTGTAAAAAGGCACTAAAATAAGATTTTTCGAAAATTAGTTTTAAGAGAATAAAACGGTGTAGACATTTAAAAGAATATAGAAACATAAAAATTGCGAAATATGGTCCTCAGAGGGTGTAGAAGTGCACTTAATATTGTACTGAAGAAAACTGTAATTAGGTTTTCAATGTTTCAATGAAAGACGAAAATGCACGATATGAGGACGACTCGGAAGACTTCATAGACTCTCTAGTGAAGTGTTTGATCCAATAAATTCAATTTACTGTCAGTTTTTTGAAATCACAAGATTAATTCTGTTTTAAATGCGGATAAAGCACATTTTTTTAAATGATGTATTTTGTCAGCCCTATAACTCGCTTACGGTTATTGCTACAAGAAAATGCAAGGGACCATTTTTGTAGAAAATTTTGTAGGCTTTAATTTTGGTAAGAAGGTAAAAACCGATGAGAATAATCGTTTCCGAGAAATCTGCAAAAAACCTTTAACCCCCTTCCCCTCCTCGAGCTCGGCCCCCATCTTCGGGGACTTTTGATATATGTCTACCCAAGTGTAAAGAAAGCGTTAAAAAAAATCCAACTCTCTAGGATTTTTTTCCATCGATCGCCCTATTTTTGTCTTGGCTAATTGGCTAATTTAGTTCTCTACAATTTTGTTTCTAACACTTTTTTTGTATCTTTAACCGTATTTGCAGGATTCTCAAAAATATTGGGCGGAACGCAAACTGATAATTGTTTATAATTTATTTTTAATACTGTTTTCGATATTTTAAAAAGGGTGCGAAGACGGTTGAAGATACAAAAAAGTGTAGGGAACAAAGTTGTAGAGAATTATATTTTCTACGAAAAAGTCCGCGAGATCATATCTCTATCTTCAACCGTTTAGGTTTAAATTTTTTTTTTCTCTTGACCACCGGTAAAAATGACACGTACTCATCACTTGAGCGTCTTTGAACGTCTTTAAGACCTAAACCATTGAAGATAGAGATATCTCCTGCGGACTTTTTTTTTGAAAATTTTATTCTCTACAACTTTCTTTTTGTACCTTTAACCGTATTCGCAGCATTTTCAAAAGTATGAGACGGGGCGCAAATTGCTGTTTGAAATTTTTTTAAATATAGTTTTCAATAAAATGTTTGCATTACCTTTATTTCTTATTATTGATAATTTAATGCTCTATCTGTCTATATTTTTTTTTTGCGTTTTGCTCACCTTTAAATACACCCATTTTTTTATTTCATTTCTTTTAAAACTTAAACGGGAAAGGAATCTGGCCTCACTAACGGAACTATCGAGAACGAAGACGTTTAGTTTTACATCGTGTCATATCCTAGTCTTTGGGTATCCGTAGTTCAAGTTAATTAAAAAAAAAAACGTACTTTGTAACACTTGACTTCAATCGGCCAAAACTTGAACAAAAGTGGTGCCCGACTTCGCGCTTTGATAAAACCTAGCGAGGTGAGGGATTTTAAAACGGGAAAGCCGTCTTGATTGCACAATTTTACGATTTCAAGATCGTCCAGCTTGTAGGGCACAGCTTCGGCCGTGTTGTTGTACAGCCAGAAGGCCAACACGGGGGCTTCCCTCAACCCGATGTAAACAAAGCCCAAATCTAGCTTGTAATCCAACTTGTAAACTGATAAAACGTACGAATCAGGCGCAATACTGTTGACTAAAATGTTGAAGATGATTGTCCTCTCATTGGTCATTTCGAGGATGTAGGAGAGCATGTTTTGGTCAGGGAGGGTGTGTTTGATTTTGAGGATGAGGCGTTGAGCGGAATTGGCCTAAAATACAGTCACAACTCACGAAATAATTTAAACAAAAATGAATTACTGGCATAAAAGGATTGGTCAATTCTAGGGAGAATAGATCTTTGTGGGGGCAATCGTAGACTTTAATTCTGAAAGTGAGACTCTCATCGGATTGTTTTTGTTCACAATCGCACACTTTTCGTCTTTTTAAAGCCACTCTCATATCGGCATTTGACACATTTTTTATGACAAAGACTAAGTAGAAGAGTTTTTGGGAAATTTCACAGTCGGGGACACACAAATCGACTCGCGATATTTCCCCTTGATTTGTTTCCTTTAATGCAGCATTGATCCTGAAAAATAAGTGTAAAATGAAAGTTTAAATAACGCGAAATTTACTCGTCTATTTTCAAGAAACACCACAAGTCGCTGTTACTAAACAAGCCACCTAAATTGTGTTCCAGCAAATCAGTGATCTGTAATAAAATAGCCATTTGAAAGTGATTTTGTTTATGATTTAATAGTCACTTGGAGAGTGGCACAGATGCAGTCGTATTCAATCCGGAAAATGCTTTTGGTTCCCTCATTAATGACATTTTCTGAAAATTCGTTGAGGCGGTTTGTATACCCAATGTGTAGACTCCGTTTCCCCAAATTATTCAAAGTGAATTGGACATTGACCAAGAGTTTTTCACGAGAGCCGCATCTCCCATAAGCCGGATACAAAACAACGTCTTTCAAATCATGATCATGGCATAATTTGAAATTTATGTTAGAGTATCCGAAATTGAAAATGTGGAAGCAAGTCGTGATTGTCTTCCCGTATTCGATTTGGCCGCATTTAAAAACGCTCGGGAAAGCCTAAAATACACCAATTTTCGCTTAATTGTCCCCCAGAAAAAAAAAACATTAAATTTTAAACCTCTCAAATAAAATTACATAGGCAAAAAGTTTGAAGCACTAATCTTGAATGTTGAAACTGCTGCATATTTTAATATAAGTGGAAAATAAATAAAATTGTTATAAATAAAAAGTATATAAAAAAAAATATTGTTTTCTTTGAACCCTACTCTAGTTTTTCATGATCATGAGTTAATAATAGAAAAACGTAATTCTCAACAATTAAAATCTCAAATATTCTATGGATGAAGATCTAGAAACAAAAAAAATAATAAAACGATAATTACATAAAATCCTTGATACCTTGCAAGATCAAGCGATAGTTGTTAAAACCTTGAAAAAGTTATACATTATAGTAGAAAGAGCAGAATTAATATCTTGAAACAAAATGTACTTTTTTTAATTGTAATAGTTTTTCAACATATTAGTTTTGATAACTTTAGTGAACTGTTGTGATTTATAAAATTCAAAATTCTGAGAAGAAAAAACTTGAAATAAAAAGAAAAAAAATAGCGTTTTTATGCTTTATGCTAGTTTACGAAAAAGTTTAATATTTCAACAATGCGAACTTCCAATCCAATTTTGCTAAATTTTAACACTGAATTCATTCTAAATTAATGTATTTTATAAAAATAATTGCTTAAAATCCAAATGAAGCAATTTGTGCTATTTCCAATCGATTTGGCTCAATTTTAAGCCTAAAAACAACCTAAATCAATGTATTTTAACAAAATAAATGTTTATAAGGAAGTAACAGTTTTCTGTCTAAATAAAGCAATTTGAGCTATTTCCAATCCAATTTTGCTTAATTTTATTACAGAAATCATTCAAAATCAATGTATTTTATAAAAATAATTGCTTTAATCCCAATTTTACGCTGAAATAAAACAATTTGTGCTATTTTCAATCGATTTGGCTCAATTTTAAGCCGAAAATCATCCTGAACAAAGTTTTTCAACTAAATAAATGCTTAAATAAGACTTTTCTTCCTAAATAAAGCAATTTAGCTACTTCCAATTTTAACACTGGAATCATTAAATAAGTACTTATCAGAAAAGTTTACAAGAAAATTTAATATTTCAACAATGCTAAGGAAATATTTAAAAAATTGCTATAAGCTGTTAAATAAAATTGCAAACTTCAAGCACTAATTTTGAATGTTGAATATTATTATTTAAAGCTTCATATCTTAATGTTAGTGTAAAATAAACAAAATCATTATAAATAAAATTAATGTATAATAAAAATTTTATTGTTTTCTGTAAGCCCTATACTCTAGTTTTCAGTGAATTAAAAATAGAAAAATGTAAATTCTCTAAAATGAAACAATATCAAATAATCTATAGATCAAGATTTTGAAACAAAAAAAAACAGAAATTATATAAAATCCTTGATATCTAGTGTTCCAAGATCAAGCGATAGTTGTTAGGAACTTGAAAAATGTGTAGAATCTCAAGTTGAAAAGAACAGAATTAAGAAACAAAAAGCAGAGTATATTATAATACATATTCTTCAAATTCTTAGTTTTCTGAACTGTTTTGGATATACAAAGTTGAAAATTCTGATAAAAAACTTGAAATAAAGAGGAAAAAATTAGCGTGTTATTGAATTGGTCATTTGTAATTTTAGCAGTTTTTCATTTATTTTACTTTAGCAGTTTTTGTTGATAAAATTATAATCTGAAAAAGGTTTACGAGAAAAGTTTCATATTATTAAAAATTAAATATTAAAAACTGTTACAAGCTGTCAAATAAATAAATATCAAATGAGGAAAATTTAAAGCACTACTTTTGAATCTTGAATATTATTTAGTACTTCACATCTTGATGTTTATGAAAAAAATAAATAAAATTGTTATGAATGAAATTAGTGTAGGTATAGCAAAAATTTTTAAACCCTACTATAGTGTTAATTATGAATTATAAATTTACAAATAGAAAAACGTAAATTCTCAAAAACTAGCAATCTCAAAAATTCAAAAATAAAATATGAATCAAGATCTTGAAACATACAAAAAAAAAACAAAACAAAAAGTACATAAAATTTTTAAAACCCTGAGAAATGTGTATGTATATAGAATCTCAAGCAGAAAGAAACATAATTAATCTTGAAAAAAATTGAGTTAAACGTAAAATTATTCTTGAAATTTTAATAGTTTTTCAACATCTTAGTTTGTTTAAAATTCATAACATCTAATTCTCCAAAATCAAACGATGGTGGTTATAAAAACTTGAAAATTAAAATTTAAACTTGAGAAAAGGTTACGGTTTCAAAAAAAATCAGATTTGGCGTCACAGTGCTTCATGTTTCAACAATTCTACCAAAATATTAAGCTGTAAAATAAAATTACAACTGCCGAAACTTTGAACCACTAATCTATGAATTATAGATATTATTTAGTGGTTCACGTCCAAATAATAATAACAAAAAAAGATATTATTGTTTTCTTAAAATATTTTAATGAAATATTTGAAACACAAATTATCGGATTTGAATTTTATTTAATACTTTGCTGCTTCTTGTCTCAGTATTAGCGGATTCATAATAAAAAAAAGTCTTTTTTTTCTCATATAACTCATTATTTTACGTGACAGTTTGAAACATATTTTTAATGTTTCAAAACATGAGCACCAACTAAACTCTGAGAAAAGTGAGTTTCAAATTGCTTCATTCAAATGACGATAAAAAATTTTTTTTCTTGTAAAAATATTTTAGCGGAACATTTACCAATTGTTGGATTTGGATTTTATTTAGTACTTTAAAGCTTCTTATCTCAAACTCATAGGTATTAAAAGAATCTTCTCGTTTTCTAACACAACATCAATTTTGATAATTTTATTTGACAGTTTATTTTTTTTATGTTTTTAGAATTCCCGACCTCCCCAAACACTTACACACAGCTCGGAATAAACCACTTCTACGAAAACCGTGACAGGCACATCCACAGGTTCCCCAATTAGCACACTTTCCTTGTACATGCACTGAATTCGACAATTCACCGAAAAATTGCTTTCCCCAATTTGACTTAAATCGGATTGGTACCAACAAGTGAGAAAAATCTCCTCGTTGGGGGCCAACACTCCTCGGGGGGTCACGACCCCAAAATACTCAGAAGTCAAAAATTCATACCTGAAACCAATTTGAAAAACTCTCTCAAGTGCTCATATTTACTGGATGTGACACGAGGAGACATTCGCGAGGGGGACATAAATACTGGTCTGGGTTCCAGGCTGCATTGGCTCGAATTTGATACAGTTTTCGTACCCCACAACGAGTCTCGGAACGTCAGTTTGGGCTTTGACGTAAATGGGGCTCGAGCTTTCGCGCCCGTTGAGTTCGATATTCCATTTTTCGATGTATGAAGTTGGTTCAGTGGAATTGCTTTCGAGTTGGACTACAATAATTTGAAATGTTCGGACTAGACCAACCATTGGCTTCATTATGAAATTCCTGAAAGATTTTTACAACACTTCGGAAAATTTCTGAAAATTTCGAACGTTTTGCGTGGGGGTAGGAGTTTGAAAAGGACAGGCAAATGGCCATGGGCTTCTATCATAAATGTTGTCCAAGAGGGGAGATTTGGGAGACATAACGGGAGAATAACGTTGTTTGGGATTATGGAAATTGAGGGTATCCATGCTTGTTTTCCCGGAAAACTGTGTCCTAAGAAAACACTCAAAAATTTTTCCAAAAATTTTGAAATATATACCAATAAAACGTAGAGATACAGGGATGGGGACGTTTATGGTAAGCGGGTTGTCCTCCTCTGTGGGGGTCCACGTGACAAAGCCGTTGATTATGGCCGATGATAGTCTACACTTGACACTTGGGTGAAATCTACACTCATACAAAGCGGACATTTTCCCCGGAATTTCTAGTTTTTCCGGGTAAATTCGAAACAGTTCAGTTTTCTCCCACTCGACTTCCACTTGAGTTTCCATATGGTTTGTGAAACTTGTCGTCAAGGTTTGACACGAACTTTCTGGTAACATTCGTCCAAAATCGAGATAATTAACAGTGAAAGAAACCGGTGGTGGGACATATTTAAGAGTTACACTGTCGCTTAAATATCCTGCAAAACTCACAGTTTCCTCGTAGGGTAGTTGGTAGTACCTGAGAGGTGACTGAGTTAGGTCATAATCGGTGTTTGAATAAATCCCAAATAAGTTGATCAAAATCGGTTCCTAATAATTTGTGATGAAATTAGTTGAAATTTTTCAACACTCTTACATGGTACAGGATGAGACATGCGAGTTGTCGCGAGTAAAATCGGTGATTTTGGGGTGAAAATCTCACTTCTATGTAGACATGTTCTTGGGGTTGGATCACCCCTTCGACTGGCTCCACTGCAAAAACCCCCTGTTCGTGTCTAATACAGTCGAACTGGAACCTTGCACAACATTCCGAACTATTACTAAGAGTGAAAATTTGTTTCACAATTTTTTGTTTGGGTGTTTTCAGTAAGTTTAAGTTTCTAATGGAAGTGGTGACCAAAGGGCCTGAACATTCCCCTCTTAAGCACAGACGATAGAAATTTTGTCGACTGTCGTTGACTGTGAAATAATCGTAGTTTTTCGTTCCAGGGATGTTGGGGGAATAACTGATTTTTAGAACCAATTCTCGGCCGGGGTCAAGCTTCGTTTCGTATTTATTGGCATCAAAGACGTGGTAAATGGGACTGATGCGAGTGTTTCTGGTTACAAGGTACGAGACAACTTCCTGGAAAATGAGGGTGAGAGGAAGTGGGTTGGGGTTTGGGTTACATTGTATTGGTTCCTGATGTGGTAGGGCTTTACAACAGTGGTGCCGACTGGAACCACGCCGAAATAAATGTCGTAGTTGATGTAATTGCAACGAGCTGGAACTTGGCCACTCATTTTTACGCTAACTTGACGGATTCAAATTTGATTTAAAATCAACAATGACAAGAAAATGTGACATTTTGAAAAATACAGAATGAATAATGCAAAAACAAAACTCTATTTGTCAAATAAAAAATCCTCTTTTTGCTTAGAAAATTAAGAATGTCCTAATTATCTTAACTCTTGAAAACAAAGATCTATTCTTGAAAGAAAAACCTTTAAAATCTTTTCTTCAGATTGGAGAAAATCAGAAACCAATAGATGGTACTAACCATCAATGTTTTCCCCATTTGAATAGTTTGCAGTTGATGTGCCAGATGGCTCCTTTATTAATTTTAGAAAGTAATGCATCGAAATATAGACCTTCCCACATAGTTTTTTTTTTCAATAAGGTAGTATGAGGTACGGAGCAAAAATTACAAGTACCCATATTTACATTGACTTGTCAAACTGAGAAAAAACTGATATTGTCAAAATATGTTTTTCCCATTTGGATAGTTTCTAGCTTGACACCAGAACCAGAGGTCAGCTACTTTGCTTATTGTCTCCTATACTTAAAAATGTAAAAAAGTGAGGAGTGAGGTTATGTTTCACTTTTTGATGCTTTTTGCAGAATCACTTCTATTCACTTCTATTTCCTCGTCGACACTTTATATTGTATTTGTAAGCACGAAGGATAGGTAAAACACTAATATTGCTATTTCTATTTTAAGATTAATTAAGGTTTTATTTCCTAATCAAGTCCTACAGCAGGTACAACGAAATTAAAGATGCAAATTCGCTGTCACAATTTAGCCATATTACTCACTGTTAATACAATCGTAATAATAGTCACAAGAGGGCACATACATAACAATTTCATTAAAAATTGTAATTCCCCTAATGAATGAAGGCAAATCTGAGTTACCAATTTCGAAACATTTTTGAATGAAACTAAAGTCTAAAGTGATTGGTTTCTCCATGGTTACTTACATTTAATGATGGCCGACCTTAAACGAACCAATCACATCGTTGCATTAATTTTTGAATGAATCCAAAAATCTAAAGTGATTGGTTTTTACATTAAAATGATGGCCGACCTTAAAATGCCCAGTCACAATGCTTACAAATTTTACAACAATCTTTACGTTAAAATCGAAATTAAAAAAGCTTGAAAGAAAAATTGGGGTATTTTTTTTAATAGTGTACCTAGTGTAACTTAGACTTTGAAATAAAAACTTTTACCTACCTTCTTTAAAACTTCAAAAAAATCTTATGAATTAAGATCTTGAAACAAAAAAAAAACAAAATTACGTAAAATCTTAAGTTTTTCCAGATCAAGCGATATGCAAATGGACAAAAATTAAAGTGAATTGAAAAAATTGCTTGAAGATTAAGGGTTTAAACTTTCTTCAACACTAAAGAACTTAAGACATTATGTTCTGAGAAGCAACTTCAAATAGTTCAAATACATACAGGGTGCACCAGAATTCGCGCCCCAGAGAAAAATGCCATATAAGGTAAGATACCAGGAACATGGAAAAAATGTTAAAAAAATTCTATCTATAAAAATTTCGAAGTAATGAGGGTTTAAAGTTTGCACTTTGACTCTGTTTATTTCTGTTGGAAAAATAATTTTCCAAGTTTTTTTGCTATAGGCTATTAAAAGAGGAAACAAAGAAGCTGTATCCTAAATTGTAACTCTGTTCAATGTTATTTGTGGCTTCTATTGGCAAAACTTTTGTCCCTTTACTAAATAATTGTAAAAAAAACATTTACAAGATCATCAGTTTCCTTAAATAGATATAAAAAAATGTCAAATGTCAAAAATAGATTTCAAAATTTTTTGACAGATAGAATTTTTTAAACATTTTTTTCATGTTCCTGGTATCTGACCTTACTTGAAAATTTTCTCTGGGGCGCGAGTTCTGGCGCATTACAAGAAAAAAATCTTCAAACGGTAAAGAAAAATTCTAGATACGAGTCTTCTTTAAACCCTATTTCGATTAAGATCTTGTAACAAAAACTCAATTAACCCCTATTTTAGTTTTTCAAGCTCTAATAGTAATTTACGGAAAATAAAAAAATATAGAAAAGAAAAAAACCTTATGAATAAGATCTTGAAACAAAAAATCCATAACTACGTAAAATCTTTAGATCTTGCGATATGCTATCTTAACAAATAAATTGTTTGAGGGTTAAAGGAATTACACTTTTGTGAACAGTTGAGAACTTAAGAAATTATGTTATAAGAAGCAACTTCAAAAATTATGAGGAAAATTCTTGACATAATAAACATCAGTTTGTCATTATTTGTCTTTTTTAGACTCTATTATCTATTGTGATCAAGTTTTAATAGAAAACAAAATTGAATTCCCTCAAAAAAATGTGAGAATCATAAAGTACTTAAAGTAAAATCTTGAAACAAAGAGTCAAGACTGTATTATTGTGACAAATGTATCCTTTTGAAATCTAACTCAGTTTTTTAAGATCTCAATTTTAAAAACTTTAATCTCATGCGAGAAAAAATCGTGAACCAAAATATGTATGTACAAGAATTTGTCGTTTTTTAATCGTCCTTTTGTAACCTTAGGAATTTTCTATTATTTCACTATTCAAAAATAAAATATTTAGAACTTGAAAACAAAGTTTTCAATGGCTCCATAAAAACAGGGACAATTTATTGCAAAAAAGAATACAAAAATAGTTGCTTTTCTATTGAAAATGTTTACAAATCTCCTCAAACTTCACATTAACTGTGTTTCAAAAATGTTTTTTCTTTTAGTTTCAGTTGTTTTCGACTACCTACCTGTTTTATTGTTGTTTTTTCTATGTAAACTCTTTTTTTCTCTGTTCTGTGAATCTGAACCAGTAGTACGTAATTCAAAATAAAAATAAAAAACGTGTCGTAAATATTTTATTTACAAATAAAGCTTTGACAACATGAGGTAGCTGGTAGTTAAAACCTAACAGTGTAATTTACATAAATATTAACATTTGGATATTAACTAAAATTAAAATCACACTAATCCTAGCGCAAGTCCCCACCTCCGCAACAAAATCCGCCTCAAAATCTTCTCCACTATCCTCCTCTTTGTGATCAATCATCACCTCACAGGAAGATTCTTCAAGAAGGTGCTTATTTTTCTCCGGGTTGCAATCAAAGCTCATACACAAACTAACATTTTGTTCTTGAAAAAACTGCTGCATATTAATCAACAGCTCGCAATTCCAGCTATTATTATAAATAAAAACGTCCCGAATGTTTGGCATCTTGTTATACAACAGTTTGTAATTTAAAACGGTCAGATTATTATCATTTATTCCCAAACTGTACAAGGAATTTAGCGGATCTAGTTTGACGTCGATACTGAGATTTGAAAGGCGATTCTGCTCCAACCAAAGCGTTTCCAATTTTTTCAAACTCTCGACGTAACTCAAATCGAAATGTTTGAAATCGTTGTTGATCAAATCCAAATTTTGGAGATTGTCTAAGCCGACAAAACCGTAACGTTTAACGGTTCTTAGTCGATTGTTCCCCAGATGTAAATGTTTGAGATTTGTCAGGCCGTTAAACGCACTAGTTTGGATTTCGACAAGACTGTTGCGTCTCAGTTGCAAGTCCACCAAGTTATTTAAAGGCTTGAAATTGTATTGTGTCAGAAAGTTAATGCTGTTGTTGTTCAAATAAAGTGCGTTTAAATTACTCAAATTTGCAAACGCGAACGAATCGATCGAAATAATGCTATTGTGCTCCAAATACAGCAACAAAAGATTCGGTAAATACTTGAAAACATAACCTTCCAACCTCTCAAGGCGATTATTACTGAGATACAAGTGTCGCAAATTCGACAACCCCTTAAAAGCATCGGGTTGGATGTAGTAAATATTATTATGATTCAAGTTCAACAAATCCAAATTTGTCAACTTGTGGAACATTTTGTTTGTTAAAATCCTAAGACTATTGTGACTTAAATCGACTTGTGTCACTCTAGTCAAATTCGTGAAAGATTCAGGGTCCAAATCAGTGACTGAATTGTTACGCAAATTAATAACTTTCAAGAATTTTAATTTATTAAACGCGCGGCCTTTTATTGCAAATATTTGAGACGAAATTAAATATAAATAATTAATGCTATTTTTGGTGAAATTAAACGTGCTACTATCTACAGTATTCAAGGTACAGTTCTCACAAGTAAACCAATGGGTTTTGCTAAGGATAAAATCGTTATTTTTCAAAAGAGAAGTGGTAGCGTTGTGACAAATTAGTTCTTCTCCTCCTAAGGAACTCGTCTTTTTCCGGCAAGATTTTGACGAGTCCAAACTGAACGTTATTCTAAAAATGATAATACTGGTCATGGCGAAGATCCATTTACCCATTGTACTGCAAGAAAAAGCGTATGGTGAGTTGCCTACGTCCTATTGTAATTTCATTACCAAAACGGGTTTGGTAATAAGACGAAAAAGTCTACGTAGTATGACACCCAAGGGCTACACACTGGATTTTTCACGAAATTTTCATTATGCCAAATAAATCACAAAGGAGGTTTTTAACATTGGTTGAAACTTGAAATGCAACAATTCGAAAAACTTGTGTGAAGCGTCCTTAATTGGTAGAGTACTTACGTTAGGAACTTGAAATTTGTACTGTGGCTGCAGAAGAGTTAAACAATCACATTATTTGGGTTTGGTTTTGCTCACTGGATTAAAACCGGGACATTTTTGGTGAAATTCACACACACAATAACTTATTAATGCAACTGTGCAGTTACCGTTTCAAAACTCCGGTTCGCTGTGTCCGTGGGTCTGTGGTAAAAATCCAGCAAGGCCAAGTCTCATGCTTCGCTGTGAACCGCATCAAAGAGAAATTCACTCCTTTTTTCTCCTCTAGATGGGAAAATTGACAATTTTCACACAATTTATGGTTGCATGAGCGCGTACTCGTGTCATGTCATTAAGAATGTGGAAGTATAAAAATAAATCAAAGCTCGGGATGGAACAATAACTAGTCAAGGAATAATTTAAACGTAACGATTTAAAGATGGTTTCAGGTTTCAACCCTTCCAGGAAAAATTAAGCCGGGATAATCTGTTGTCCTAAAGAAATTTATTTACTCGTTAATCCCAGAACATCCTAATTGAGTCTTTCAAGGTTTGTTAGCCAGAATCCTAATTATGATTGCTACTTTTTCTTGATTACCCATTTGTCGTTGACAAATTTAGAAATTTGCACAAATTTTTAAATGCTAATGTGGTAGTCACAAATTGGCGGAATTAGTTTTGTAAACACGCTTCACCTTGTTCGACAAACTATTAATTGTTTTAATATGTTGAATGATAGCATCAAAATTTGGTTATCGTGTATTGTACAAATGTAATAATAAATATTCAATTTTATCGTGTAAAAGTCGAACTTGTTAATTGTGTTACGTGGTTTTGATATTACCTTGTGTTTTTTACCATTTCCATGTAAATTAGTAAAAATAGTTTAAACAAAATCGTCTGTTTTTTGTTGAGTGGTCACTAATTTCATAAGTTTTTACGTGGTAGTGTTGCATAAGACAATCAATAAGTCCGTAGCTTATTTTCTAATTAAAGCAGCATTTTTATGATTTTTTCATTTATTTGGAACGAACATTACGTAAAATCTCATTACTGCTTTAATTAATTTTAAATTAAACCTGTATCATTTGTATTTTGAGCAGAAAGTGTTTTTATTTTAATGCAAAAATCGTTTGAGTTTGTATTCTAATGACAGTGGAGATGGTTAATAGTAATGAGCAGCTCATTACTCGCCAACTGAGTCGAGTCGCACACTTTGTTGACAATAATAAGTTAAGTAAGTAGATTTATTTTATTTTTCTTGAAAATGATCACGGTTAACCAGTATATGAATGTATACTTTATATGTTATAAAAGAACAATTATTTCTTATTAGAGTTGTTTAACTGAAAGTCGCCAGGAACTATAAGACAAGATTACAATTCAATAGTTACTTTTAATTAGCGACATTATTGAGATTTTATTTTGTTTTTTAATGTATCGTACCAGTGATGCTATTTTATTTCTCTCAGGAGTAAGAATCTAAATCTGCTACAAAGATTTTAGAAATGAGTGGCCATTTTTAAATAACAAATTGATCTAAATCTAAGTACCTAGTTAATTACCAGCAAAACTGGTTATTTATTTTGGTCAAGCTCACAGACTTATCCACTGCAATTTATAATTATAAGACAACACTTGGAATATTCAACGTGTGGAAATTACCAATTTTACTAAATTTTGTTCTTAAAATGTCTGAAAATTGTGTTTTATGGTACTTAATACAGGGTGTCTCAGAACTCACGAATCAGAAGAAAATGCCAAGTAAGATTAATGGAAAAAATGTTAAAAAATTCTATCTATAAGAATTTCGAAATTCTTTGCACTTTAACCTTATTTATTTCTGGTGAAAAAATAATTTTGCTTGTAAACGTTATGTTTTTAACGTAATTTGTGGGTTTTATTGGCAAAGTTTTTGTACTTTTACTGAATAATTATCAAAAAACATATATAAAATTATCGATAACAATAAATAGATACAAAAAAGGGCAAATGTTAAATAAACAAATCCTAGAAAGTGTCAAGGTGTTAATATTTCTTGACAGAAATCTTGATTCTTGACCATTGTTTCTTGACTTGAAATTATTTTAACTCATCTCTTGTCTTGATTTTTGACAATATCAAGACAAAAAGAAGAATATTTTTTTG